GTATGTATGTATGTATGTATGTATGTATGTATGTATGTACGTATGGGTATGTAAGTTATACGCAGACAGGTAGTTCATCGATTGTTCTACCTCAGGTAGTAGTAGTAGCTAAACTGCAGAAGCTCGCATACAATATGTAATAGCAAAAATTTAAGAAACAAACTAGTAATATCAATAATAAAAGAAAAAGACAATAGACTACTGGAGAATCCTTACCCCCATCACCTTCCAACTCAAAGCCAAACTAAAACATGCGAACTCGTATCAAATCAAAAACCAAAGTATGATCTCTAGGGATCTACAACTCCCCGAGCACGGGGTTCTCCTTCTTAAGACGGCGATTCAAGATCTTCCCCGGCGCAAGGGGTGAAAGGCACTAAAAAGGTGCAAAGCGCTGACTATTCAACAGCGTATCCGTGTACCTGGGATCCGGTGGAGCCACGTACCAAGAGCCACAATCAGGACGTTCCCGTTGCTTCTACCGTGGACCCAAACCAAGCTTGCAAGGCCCTTAGTCAGATACGACGGCAGAGATATTGGCGCCAGAGAATTGCTGGAGGATTCCAGATGCTGTATACTATAATTACCTTGAGTAATTATGATAAACGAGATAAGTACCGGGCGGGTATACGGAGTACGGTAAACACCATGCACGTACGTATGCATCATGTACGTGTTGCATTTACACAGCCACGATGAGTTCAGCTGAGGATGGTCAAGAAAAAAAGGATGTCTCTGCATATACCCCACATATTTTTTTTCTTCGTTTGCCAGTCAGAACTTGACTCGCTTCCTAAATGGGGTTTATCTGCAGATCGATCCATCTTGCCTGAAGTCTTTTGTTTTTATTATTGTTGTTGTCATTATTAGTATTTGATTTTGGTTTAGTTTATTATTATTCTTCCTTCGTATCTTTCAAGTAAGGACTACGTGTCCTGTGCAGGATGGATGATCTTTCGGTGGTAGACCACTCGAGGGGTCAAATAATGGGACTCCGTCTGACGCGGTAGTAAGGGATGATCGTTGGAGTCATTATTCGGGGTGGTTTTGGAGTACTTGGTATGTACGCAGAACAGTCAGCTATTCAGTAGACAATGAGTCATGAAAAACATGACAGAGACTAAACACCCATAATTAACAAATAGAAGAAAAATGACCTAATTAACCAATTAAGTCCAGAACAAAAAAGCAATCGTAATCTTCCAGAACAAACGTCAACAAATGACGTCGACTTGGACCCGACCGGCCGGATCTCGGAGAAGCTCTATCCTTTTGGATCAATGGAACCTCCCAACCTAAACCAACGGACGGTTCCATTCTTGGAATATAATCAGACCATGAACTTCCTCATGGGGCAAATCCTCGGCTGGAAGGATTTGCATGGCAATGGAGCCTAGTACCGTCTAGGTTAGAGGGTGGCATGATCGAAGTGGATTTGAAATCATTGAGGTGCAAAGTGAGGCACGGATGCACGCGGCAGGCGAATTCCAAATACTCAACGTCAAGTCAAGTCTTTGAACTAATGGGGCAAAAGGAGCGGTATGTATAGTAATGGAAGTAATTAGGTGTACACGTATGTATGTATGTATCGGTAGGTAATAAGGTACATGTCTGTATTTAATTTAGGTAGGGGACCGAGAGATTAAGGACCAAGTTTAAAAAAGTGCCACCTAATTAGGTATGTCGTGGCATACATGAGTATGTACCTAATTGAAGCCTCAATATGAAAATGACAAAGGCAACGCCAAATTCAAGGAACTTTCTGGTCTCAATAAACTTCTTCTTTTGTCTCCATAATCTTGAATGAACGGGGAAACCTTCGAAGTCAAAATGCCAGATACCAACCACAGATGTTGCACTAACCGAAAGCCGTAGATGGTCAGAACGGAGAACAGATCAGAAACAACTCCTTCTCCATCGCCATCTCCGCAGATACGTATTTCTAGAAGGCATCGCATATTCCGCCTAGAATTATTGAGTGCTAAGACAAATGCCCTCCGTTACCATCTGGTGGCGTTGGAAACATAAGCCATGATCGGTTGAAGCGGATATCATGCAAGATGAGATGAGATGCGATGAGATTGAGATCAGATCCCGATCGATTTCGATAGTCGCATTGGTGCCCCTTGAATCAGCCCTTGGACCCAACTAATCCACCCCAACTAAACTCTCTAAGATTAATATCGTTCTGCTAAAGCAAAATTTTCAACCGAAAAATATGGAACCTTAAAAGCCCCAACATCAGTCGGCAAAGTCTCGCTTTCTCCGCGGGGGAAGCGATAAGGCGCTCAAGAAAAGAAAAGATCGAGGCCGATCAGGCCATCTGGATGGTCCCGTGAGCTGGTTCTAGTTTGTTCTAGGGCCGCTTGGCAGTAGCCGCCATGAACAGCCAGCCAATCAACGACTGGCAGCTGGGCATCTGAGCCTGATTATGTAAATTGTATATGCTATACTGGTTTGGGTAAGCTAAGGATTGCGGCTATACCGATGGCGAACTTGACTTTTACGCAAATCGGGCGCTGCATACTAATGTAAGATACTCTTCTTTTTTTTTTTTTATTTTCTTTTTTCGGTGTCCAAATGATTTATTTTGACCTCCCAAAAATCGTAGAGCCTCAACTCTGAGAATGACGTATGGATACCCTTCGTAAGAGGTGTCGAGATTCGCATGGCATTAGACTAGATCCAACTATTTAGTACCTAGTTAGAACTACTGGTGGTAGCGAAGGGGACCCGGATGACCATGCAACTAGTGAAGATGGTACCCATTTACCTAAAGTGGTCAATCATACTAGGAGGCAAACCATCTAAGCATCGCCGAACGCCCGGGGTTCAGACACGATGACGGCGGTGGCGGATCTACAGGGTCCTGGAAATACCGATCGATGCAAAACTAAACCCCGACTTAGACCATAATACGTCGTCCCCTCACTTACACCTTGATCCAGGGCTCACATAGGAGATGGCCATCTTCATCAGACCACCTTAAGCCAAGCCCAGCGCGTGATATTCGCCACCACTGCGGACCCATGAACTTGGTGCCACAGGTGAGAGCGAGGGAGAGATAGAGAGATCTTGGCCTACATCAGATATGTATAGTATTATTGTCCGTGACTAGTTAACTTTTCGAACAGAGACAATTCAATCAAATAAGGTTACATTAATCACTGCATCGGGTCAAGAGCCTCTGAAACCTCCCATGGAGAACATGAGTGCATAAGAAACATCATATGGCACACTGGCAGTGTAAGGCAATCCACGTAAGGTTAGGTAGGGGAAGTGGGTAACTGGGGTATAATTGTAACAGATCGCAAAACAGTAAGGGAAAACCGGCGAACGAAAGGAAATAACCAAAGGCAAGGAGAAAGAAACTGTGTACATGCTGATCCCACAGAAAACGACACAATAACCAGAACGAAAGTCTATCCAGATGCCTTTTTCCCACAACGTGCGAGGGGTATTAAAAAAGTAACTCCAACGACCAATCGGACAAGAACAGAAAAAGTCCAACATGCTCGGAACATTTCATAACCACACCTGAAAAGGAAACCCGGGGCCCAAAACAAATCGAACTGTATCATGTCCAAGGTAAATTATCAGGAATGACACCAACATAAGAGGTTTTATGATCAACGAGGAGATGGAGGCACTAAACGCCGGACACTTCTAATCCCGAAGCCTTTCTTCCGTTTTTTTTTTTTTTTTGCTTTTTCTCTTTCTTTCTTTCATTTTTCATTTTTTTTCTTTTCTTTTTGTTTTTCAACGCCACATACAGAGACGCCTGACTTGTTAACGGCCAGTTGGAGATGCGGAGTCGATCGTTTTGGGTTTAAGGTTGGAACCCAAGGACGATGCCTGTTTGGCACCCATCTTGCGCGTCAGCTTGGCATAGTGCAATCCACATGCGTTGCATAGAGTCCGAGCACCGTCTGGACCGCGGCGCCATTCGGGTGTCTCAGCCCGGTTGCAACTGTGGCAACGGCCAGGAGGGGCTGCTTTCTGTAGTTTGTGTTAGTGATAGCGAATGAGACAACGGGGATAAGCCGGATAGAAAAAAGAGTCTGGTACTGGGACTTGGACCCTAGGACCCAGTCACCCACAGACAGCGAACACACACAAAAAAAACAGGAGAAGAAAAAAAAAAAAAAGGTGAACGTACGCCTCGTCGCTTCTTCGAATCTGGTCCGGCAAAGCCGCCACTGCCCTTGTATTCGTCTTGGTACATTGCCATGTGGTCATCGTCACGAACCCCACCAGCCTTGAAAGCCTTTCTTTGGGCCATTTGCTCCGCCAATGCGTGCTCTTGGCTCACAACCGCGGCTCGTATACGTAGTAAGGCATCCTGGTTCCGGCGTTGAAAATTAAGCATATCCTCCACTTCCTGTAGAGAGGGCAGGGACCCTAAAACGGGCCCAGACCGCTGGGTCTGGTGCGCTTTTGCGGCGTAATGCCGTGAAAAGTCCAATGTGCGCGTGCTCATCTCGGCAATCTATTCATAATTAGCCAACTGAAAACAGGATCGAGTGTCCACACTAATTTCACATACCTCATTGAGCGATGTCTCCACATCATACACGTCCAAATGCCGTTTGACAGAATCACCCGGGATTTGACCCGCAATAGCACGACCCGCAAGTCCGCCCTTCATTTCCTCGACACGCGCAGTTTCAGGTACACCCGGCTTCCATGCAGTACCGTAGGGTCGGGTGTCATACGCAACCGGATATGTTGGCGCATTTGGCGGGGGCTGCGACTGGAAGGAGAAGTTCTGCGGGAAAGTACCATAGCCGTTGGGAGAGGCGATACTGCCCGCAGAAGTAGGAGCACTATATTCATAGGCGGATCCTGTCTGCGAGCCAGCGATTGAAGTGATCCCCGTTTTTTGACTCTGTGTGGGTGACTTGCCCGAACTCAAGGATTGAATCGAGGGGTTTCGCGAATCCTGTGTGGTGACTGAGGCCAAACTCGCACGAGATGCTTCTGCTTGGAGTTGGGGTGGAGGGTACGCTGAGTCCCGCACTGCATAAGGTCCTGATGATATCACATTTGAAAACGGATTCAGTGGTCCCGACGGTGCTTCGCCAGTCGGCCGTCCTACAACATTTGAAGACAGGAGATGCGAATGTGGTGCATGATGAGGCTGCTGAGGAGCCGCCGATGTGGGCGCAGGATACGGAAGGGGGTTATCATTTCCTAAAGCCTCGTGGATGGACGGGAGGGATTGCCTTTGTGGTTGTGACTGTTGCTTCTCCTTCTCCTCCTCAAGCGCGCGCCGCGAATCTGTAGGCGAGATATAACCAGGCTGCACAGACGGTGCGCTGGCGGACGATGTCGGGTAGGAGCATGGTAATGGCTGGCCAGAATACATGCTTGTTGGACTAAGAAGGGCTCCTGGAGATGTGACAGGACCCGATCCAACAGCGGGATGTTTGGGGGGATATCCCGATCCGTCCTTTCCTAGAAAACCAAGAGCTGGTAGATGGTCCCTATGTGTCCAAGAAGATTAAATTAGTACATGTGATTCAAGTTAAACTCCGACGCTTGCGTTGACGAGAAGGCGATAGAATGAATAAGGTACGAACCTATGCCTATGACCGGCTTCCAATGACCCCATCACGCCAATACTTCCAATTATATTTTTGCGATTTCGCCCTTGACCTCAATGCACCATCAGTCGCCTCGGCTATAAGTCTAATAGTGTACCGTGGGAGTGGGTACCAAATCGTCAATTTTTAGAAATGAAATAAAATGGAATGATATAATGAAAGCGTGGACGGGTTTGAATGGCGAAAGCGACCGGCCGAGAACAGTGAGCTTCAGAGGCGAAGGGATGAAAAGTAATAACAATTCCAACAGTTTTCCGATAAGTGATTGCCGTCCTTCAAGTGCGCGTCACCACTCGAGTAAATCGACTTCGAAGGTTCTTCTTCTTTCTTTACTTCGTGATTCCGATTAAAGAAAAGAAAGGAAAAGAAAATAAGAAAATAGAGATTATCAGGCCACCTTTTCTTCCCTTGAACCAGAGTTGTCTGGGGGGTGGGTGGCGGTTGTGGGGAAAGGGAAAATGAAGAGAAAGAGTTCAAGTCGGGCGAGATGCGGACGTAAGAGGAACCTAAGAAGGAAAAGGCCCGCGGTTCCGTGAGTTGGCCCAGAGAGGAATAGTTTAAGCAGAGAGCGGCGACTCGATGATTGGGGAGAAGCTCCAGGAGTGTGAGAAAAAAAAAGTGGCGTTGGGGGAAGGGAAGATCAGGCAGTCTGCAGGCGATGCGATCGCGATTAGAATACCCGCAATTCAAATGCAATTAATTCGATAGCAAAAGTACGGCACGCACCCGTAGTGCGCAGCGAACAGATCAGATCGGAACGGCCCTTCCTGCGTCTGTAAGAATCATCTGTCCAAAGCCAAATTCGCACAGCGAAATTTAACAGTCAGATTTCGAATCCTCAGATAGACTCGATTTGTGGTTTGAGTTTGGTGAGCGGGTGTCGAGCGGCGGAGGCCCAGTAAACGCAAGGGATAACAAGAGATATGAGTGCGTCGCGTGGAAGGGAGACCGGGCTCTCTCTTTCGTTCCCGACAAAAAGAAAAAATTGAAAGGGGTGGAAGAAGATAAAAGCTATTATAGGGAAAATATGTAGAGATGATAGAGGAGGAAGGCAAGAGGGGTGAGATTTATTAGTGGGTAGTGATTATAGACTAAAAGACAATTGCCCCGGGGGAGGAAACGAGGAAGAATGGTTCTCTGCTTTTTCCCCTGGGAATGCGAGCAGAGGAGAGCTGAGAGGGTGAGAGGAAGAGAGGTAGCTTCGCGGTAAGGGAAAGAGTGAGAGGAAGATGAAGAAGCAGAAGAAAAAGTATAAGTTATAATCGATGGAGAAGAATTGATCATAGACTAAATCAAATCGAAAAATAAATAAATCCCCAAAGAAAAAAAAAAAAGAAATAAAATAAATATAATACTAGTACTAGTACCTCAGCAATTAAAATCAAAAAAGAAAAGACGAAAAAACGAAAAATAAAAATTAAAGAAACTATTAAAGACCTCCAGGCCACAAGCAGTCCCGCACACACACTCACGACCACGAGAGATATGGGAGGGAGGGTCCAGCGAAAGAGCTAGCAGCTAACGACGTCGGCCCAGGACAGGGTGAGCTCAGACCTGGAAGAGGGAAGAGGGAAAAAAAAAAAAAAAAAAAAAAGAGAGAGAGAGAAACAGCCTGAAAAGCCAAAATGGGACTACGAGATCGTCGAATCACACTCGCCGTCGTGACCAGTTTAAAGTTACGGCGAATTACAGAAGCTTTACGCTGCGAACTGCGGATCTTCGACAAAGTGTGGAGTGAGTTGGGATCATATTGGCGATGTGCGGATATCTGGGTGGGGTGCGATGGAGCCTTACCAGGGGGGGCGGTCGTCCCTGACCAAAAATTCAAAAATTATAATAATAAATTAATAAATTCAAATAATAAAAACAAGAGAACAAGTAATTAGTAGCACTTTACTTTCCCACTTTTTTTGCCCTTCCCCTCCTTCTGTATTCCATACACAGTACGTAATTTACAACAATACGGCAATACGACAATACAATCCATTGTACAGTAGGTATTACATTTCCTAATTTTTACTTTTTTTTTATTTTTATTTCTCATCATTATTATTTTCAGATAGAGAAAAATAATGATGAGAAAACAATAAAAAATAAAAAAGCTCGAACAAAAACAAGAATTAGGTTCTCCCTATGTATTTGGTTGCAATTATGAAACCACCGCACTAAACAGATCTGAAAGTCATAACGTCTTTATTAGTAACACCAGTTCATTAGAGTACTATACACAAAAAGAATTAGGTGTAGTGTTAAGGTCCAACTTGGCGGATTACCACCTAAACGGATGTATTAGCGTTCATCCTAAAGCCACAGGGGGGTACCGGGGAATGGGTGTAATAAAACTAATTTGGATTTTACCACTAGCCGTTAATGTACAGATTTACTCAGTGCCAGCTCCGTCGTAGTACGGTGTAGGTTTTTAGTGTCTGGCACAAAATGGAAAGAGGGGTGGTTAACCACTCAGGTAATTGAGGGGGGTTGGTGCGAAATAGGACGATGAGTGGTTCCTATCACTGATGGCGATGGGGCAGAGGAAGCATCGAGATCCATAGATCGCACGCTACGCAAATTAGGGGAACGGCCGACCGACTTTAATTAAAGAAAACCTGACAAAAGAAGGAGAAGGAAGGAGACTAACAAGACGGGAATGACTAACGTTCCCAAATCTAAGTCCGCAGGCCATCGAATAAAAGAAGGGATTATTATCTTATAAGTACCATATTTTCCTTCCTGTTATCCTCCTAAGTTAAAGGGAAACTATACTGAAGAAGGAGAAAGAAAGTAGAAGGGAAAACAAAAGGACAGAGAAAAGAGAAAAGATACACAACAAGTAGATTCATTGGGCAGGCGGCTTGCCGGACTCAGCTTCCATCCTCAATACATCCCTCACTCACAAGCTACCTTGCATCGGTGGTATGTTTGTCGTTTATGGCCAGCTTACTTGGTCTAGAAACCCAGATGTGAACCGAAGCAACATAAATTCAACTGATTACAAGATAGCATCGCAAAGAAAACTTGGGTTGTCAAATTCTTATCTGCAAAGATTATTATAGTATTGTTGCTGTGATTCGAAAGCATGGGCAACATACGGCTAGTAGTCGGGGTTCATACTAGTACTAATGTTGTTGTTGTACAATCTACTGTATGTATTGCACATATTTAATGATGTCCGCTTGTGCTGCCTGAGGAATCCTCAGCGGTTAGGGTGTGACAGATGCAGTAGTACACAAAACGTATCGCAATATTACATGCTTTTTATTTGCGATCCAGGCAACCCATTTAAGGCAACAATGCAAAAGTTGATCAATGATAAGATTTAGAATTCGTAGTTACAGATACATTGTTACCTAATAGGAGTTTTCTCAGGACTGCCTTCCTCTTCTTCTTCTTCTTCTTCTTCTTCTTCTTCTTCCTTTTTATTTTTTTTTTCTCTTTTTGTTATTTTGTAAATGCAATGATTACCAACATTGAACATGTGAATACCATGCCATCCTCCTTCTTCTATAATTTTGATATGCAAAAGCACGGGGAACTCGAGATCTGAAAGGAAGAATGCTGTACACTACGGAAGAAGGGTAAAAGACCGAAGGAAGACGTGGAAAATAAGCGTCCATCCATGTGTGAGATTTTGAAGATACTGCAGTGATGTCTCTGCTTGGCCCAGATCTGGAAACGATCGGAGTGGGGAAGTTGGATCGCACATCAACAGGACACATAAACTACTACTAAACATGCTCTCACACCCATCAGCATCCTGCAGCTAGTAATACCCCACTACAAGAGGGGAATGGAAAAGAAAATATTTTTCTTTTTTTTTTAAACAAAATAATAATAATAATAATAATAATAATAATAATAAAGAGAAAAAATAAAAACACTGGATAGTTAGGATCGCATTTGGAAGCGATCCGACCGCCCATTTGTCAACGCGGCAGCAACATTTAAAACCTGACTGCAGCCATGGTCAGATCCCCTCCTACCAAATTTGAAAACCCACACTCCCTTTGTTTTGGTTTTTCTACTGATGAACAATTTTCAAACTAAAAAGTATAGGGATGAGATGTAGAGCAACGGGGACTTAGAGACCATGGAAATTTTTAAGAAGGGAAAAAAAAGAAAAGTTACCGAAATAGAAGAATACTAGAAAAATTCCAGACCTAGCCATTACATCAAAATCCACCGCCCCCTTGTACCTGAGAGAATTGTTCCATGGTACCGTACCACGCTCACCCCCGCCCTCCCTTGCTCAAGATCTCGGGCATAGCCGTGGGTGGGTGGCACCATTGTCGTCATTCACGATATCCTCGGACTGAGAGATTCTTATTGTTTTTTGTCGGCGGCGGCAGGACTGACGATTCTAATCGATATTAATGGAGCATACTATTGAGTATAGTATGTTCCAAAAATGCACCTAAAGGGATGCCGTCGGACCGACGGGGTATAGCGTTTTTCTTCCATGACTGGGTCCCGTCTGGTTTCTTTCTATCCAACTACGGTACTAATTAATATACTGACTGGGTACCTGGCTCCGTAGAATGGCATCCACCCTTCGATCGATTGGGTTTTTAACCCTGGAGTTACCTACTGTATGGTGCTTCTTCGGCGGTGATTGGATTCAATCAATATCACACCACTACTTTTCTCTTCCATGAATCATAGGCGTTTATCAGCAAGTCCTGGGGTCGGATGATTTCCCCAAAGCAGAGATGGTGTCGCATGGGTTGTCGCATTACCACATCCCCCTTCCCCTCTCCCCCGCTAGTTTATGTCATCTTAAACACCCAACTTCAATAGTTTTAACGGGACCCGAACAATTGTCTCTTCGTTTGGTGGTTGTAAGACTCCTCGTCGAGCAAAAAAGAGATAAAAATAATATTATTGCTAAGTTTAGACCCATGCACTAGAGCATGCTCCACCGTACCGACGACGCTCATAATTAGTCGTCATCCTCTTCATCTCCTCTCTCTAGATTGATTGATTGATTGATTAATTCATTCATTCATTTAATTTAGTAAATTAATCGAATCTGGACTATCATGCACGTTGTGGATTTACTATGGAAGGTCGATCTAATTCTGAACCGAGATCCGGAACACATGATTGGGGGATATCTAACGGGCGAGCTCATTCCAATTTTTTGTCACTGCCGATTAACTTCGCTCCTCATTCATTGACGTAACAGTCAAGGACTGAAGGATATTTTTCCCCTTCTCCTCCCCTGGATTCCTTCTCATTTCTGGGATATTTCATTTTTTGCATTTCATTCGGTGGCATGCTTTTTTAGGATCTATCCCCCGAGAACCGCAACCTCATTTCCCTGTTTTTCGACATGATCCCTTCAATGCAAAGGGTCTTAACTAACACTGGAATTGATTAGTGGCATTCCACATCAGCCAGTGTGTATTTGTTTCATTCTCACAACCGACATTTGACCATTGCCTTTTCTGGCTGCATGCGCAGCTTCCGACCGGCAAGTCCGCATCCATCTGTACTACTACTACTCGTACGTAAGGTAGCACCGGCATACATTGATCGTAGAATCCCGAGCAGATCATGAAGTATTTTTGATTTTTTTTTCTTTTTCTTCTCCTTCCTTTCTTTCCCTCTTTTGGGGGGCTGAAGTTGAGTGTGGCAGAGAAAGCAATGACCTCATAGCTGACATACATGCCGATCATCACTATCGGCGATGAACTCATGTCCTTGACCTTGTCTTTCCGTGTCCGGTATTGGATGCCCCAGGTATCAAGCAAAATTTATGTACATACATTAATATACATATCCTCTATTTATCCGTGGGATAGATTGTCTTGCGCCATTCTGTTACCGAATGGAGTCGAATCATATACCCTATTGTACACTGCAGTAGTAAATACTAGACAAATAATTTTTAATATAAGACAAACCGTGGGATCACAATCATCCGAGGTCAGGACTTTGACCCTATGAGGCGTCGGCAGGGGCTCATGCGCCGAACATGCTCACCCACTGAGATTTAACTCAATCTGCAGGCCCCCTTCGTGAAATACCACCGTAATGATACTACGTCTTGTGGCTTGCTGGGTGTGTACAGTATGTACTCTGCTCCCAGCCACATACATACACCTTACATATACATACATTAAAGTACATAACAAGATGCACACGTACGGTATCCATGCGGGGAGAGGTGTCACATCACGCCCGTTGGAGCTGCAAGATCCTATACTACGGGCTGCAGCATCCTAGATTCTGGTCGAAGCGTTTCTCTTCCTCGGTTCTTAGATGGACTTGATTCACTGGAGTTCAGCCTTCCCTGCTGCAGATGACGCTGCGTTACCCGATCCGATCTTTTACTTTCTTTTCCATATTTCCCGCAAACCCCAATGAAAAATATTACGGACTATGGCTATTTTATCGGTTGGAGATTGAACGTTACACAATGAGATCGAAATCATTGCGCACATGTGACGACGGTGGAATGTAGGTACCGTGACTTGCCTTTCCCCGGCTGGAGAACCTTTTAATTTATTATTATTATCATTATTTATTTATTTATTTTTTCCCCTACATTGTTCCTTTCCTTGACTCTCCATCGTATGTCTACCATAGCGAAGCAGTCTTTCGTCTCCAAGGAGACAGGACTTTCTGCATCAGCTTTGATCGTACACTTGCAGATGCACAGACTACAGGAGGCTAGTTATGGATCTAACGGTCGCGCGAAACTCGACTCATCCAATCGGACCCGTAACAAGTTGGGGGACGTTGTCTGTCATAATATTGACAGATCACACCCATAATTACTCGAAGGCCTTTTCCTCGTTCCTGCGACCGTTTGTTTATTACTTTATTTTCACTTAAACCTGCCTCTACGAACGATGAATCTGCACGTCTTCCAGTAGACACCTACCAAATTGTTCGGACACAGTTTCCCTCAACTTCATTTCTCCTATAACTTTTTGTTTGCTTTCTTTTCCGCTCCTCTTTTCCCTTTTTGAGAGCGTGGGAATCCTGGCTCAACCTTAGGTTTCGTGGTGTGGGACAGGATAGTGGGTTCCGCTTAAAATCCCTGCTGACTAGTAGTGCGATGTTGGATCGAACTAAGGAAAGCAAATCCCGGGACGTCGCGTTGGAGAGTCAAGTTCCCGAAGGTCGACAATGAACCGCGCCGCGCATTGACCAGATAGCAGCTTATCCAGGATGGGAAAATTACTGCACGCCGGTTCCAACCGACATCGTTGTCTCCAGCGCATGGGACGCTAAATCGTCAACGACGATGGGAACGGCACATCGGAACGTACTTATGTGCTCCGTACATACATACAGCTTATGGAATGGTACTTCCTCTCGCTTCGATAGCCGATTGAGGTTGGTATACAATACAAGTGGCCTCGTTCGTGAACATGTCAAAACTCCACCAGGCATATGACTCCGTGTCAGCTGCTCTTCGACGATGCTCCACCTTCTGAAGATCAGTCGGTATCTTTCAAAAAGAAAGACTTTGAACTCCATGTATACAAACATTAACAGGAGATAACTCTCTACTAACAATGCTATGTATCCTTGACACAACTCTCCCTAATACAATTAGAGAATGTTCCTGGACGCCATTCATAATGACTTGGCCTTGCCTTTACCCTTGGTTGTTAGTCAAGAAAACCTGCTCATAAACATAAATTGAACCACTAGGACGAGCCATGGCCCGTTACGACGTGGAGACACATCTTACATCGCACACACCGACATGATCTCTTCAAGTTCCTCTCCAACACGATACTAGCTGCTCGGCGGACTACATGCATCATACAGTGTGTGCTACGACGCTGCCTCTAAGGGTGGGGTACTTGCGCCGGCCGTTGAGATGGATCTACTCTGGAGAGATAATTCTAGCTGTTCAACACACATCCTTGACCTGGGCGGAGAGGGAATAGTGTTTACAGCCAACTATCCGATCTCTCGGATCTCAACGAGGAAATGGAGAGGTCACTCTTACTCCTTGTTGACCCTCTGACCACGCAACAAAACATAAATGTTGACAGGAACGTAAGTTCCAACTGCCGACATGACGGACTAAATCACTAGGATGGCAGATCATATCCAGTCAAAGATTGGGGACATCAAAAGAGGTCTTAACCCACCAACCGTACATTCCCCAGGAAAGTCCACTAGAAAGCTTTGTTGTCCTCCTTGCAAGCGACAGGCGACAACAAGCGATAGAGCATGGTGTTGACAGGCAGTGGACCAGGCGGATGAGATCGACAGCGCCAGACCCGATAGACTGATGGGCGAAAAACCGTTGAGAGCGTTCTTGCTAAAATCGCCCAAAGAAAAAAAAAATATCTTACACCCCTCTTTTTATTATTATCATTATTATTATTAACTTACCATTAGTACTACTTACTAGACGACAGGTGCCCTTTTTGCCCAGACACGTTGTGGGACTGCCACTTTTTCTCAATTTTTTTTATGATCGTCCCATGACGATCAGGAAGGTACCAAGACCAATCAGCGACAGCGAGTCGACTAAGATGGGCGCAAAACGCGATCGCAATTTTCCAACAAGTCACTCAACATCCAACGAGTTTGAACTATTCTCACGGATAGCCCACAATTTTCCCCATTGAGGCTGGCCAGGATGGGCTAGATTCCATAGCTCTGGCTGACGCCAACTGATCGGCCTCAAAAATTAGATTGCGATCCAAAGAGGGTGTGATCCAACCCACCCGCGCGCGTTCTTTTCCCAGGGGCGCGTCTCTGCAGGGAAGCGTACCGTGTACGGAGTAGAGCGATCAATATGACAGACTGACACATGGCGGTTGGGGACTATTGGACGGCAAGGATTTGGGTCCGCAATAGGTACTACCTTGTTGTCGAAGGGGTTTAGTACGGTGGTAGTTGATTAGTTAACGGGAACAACATCGGGGCATCCTGCAGGCAACCTATCACCAGCCATAACCAACACCAAGCCCAATTTGGGAACGAATGAACGTTGTGCAGGTGGAGGGAGGAAAAACCCACCAACGAGGAATAGAATGAGGCAGCTTCATCAGAAGAAGAACAGGATCGGTGGAACCTTATCCCGATAAACTCTCCGATGTCTTGACCTAAAAAAGAAGTTGACAGCTGGGGTTTCGTTAGAAACAGTTTAGTCTGGGCGGCACTAACCTCTCGCGTGCTGCAGCCCGACCGATTGGGAATTGACTTCGGTTAGCTACTAGTAATCATACCGCTTTGATAACCGGATAAAATAACAGCTAAGTTAAGCAAAGATCGAAATCAAGTAACGTCCTGCTTCTTTTCGTTGGCTCCCCTATATTTTTACGTACAGAAGAAGTACCTATTGGATGTTATTACGTGGTAATATCCACGATTGACATACCAGCGAAATACGCCGCACTTGAAATGTACAGGCCATGCCGACCGGTCTCTCAGCCACAAATTCAGCTAAATACATAGTCCCTTCCTATTACAAAAATTGATTGATTCCGGTTTGCCTTCTACGTACCTTCCCAATCACATGGCTTCGAGTCATTTGCTGTTTCTTTTCGTAAATCCCAGATATCTATTCTTTCGGCCGGATGGATTATAGTTTCCTACTACCGTTCCCAGATAGTAGGGAATCCCACCTTCCTCCGTACGGGTAGAATGATGGGATACTAGCAGGGATGTGCCCTCCCAAAAAGGAGACTAGCGGCCCACCTCCCGCCTTTTCCTTTTTCCTTTTCCTTTCCCTCTTTCCCAGTTTCCACCCCCCTTGGAGACTGTTAAAAAAAAAAAAAATACGAGAAAAGAAAAATAAGAAATTAAATAAATAAATACATGAAGTGAATTGGCCAATCCAACCTCTCTTTGTTTTTGAATTTTCTTTCTTTCTTTGTTTCTTGATGTTTGATTCGAAATTAATTCCGCCACCCCTTTCAAGATCCCATCCTTCCCGCTTTTGGTGTACCAAGATTCCAACTTAGCCTCGGAGAATAACTCTCGAGTCGAGTCAATGGCGCCTTTATATTCCGAATCTACCGAGACGCTGGATACTTACAGGAACTTAACTGAGTCTGTTATGTATGGCCGGACAGGGATGGTTACGTAGCACGCTTTCTTATCTTGAGAGTTTAAATGTACATACCGTATTGAGCTCTGATCTCCCTTATAAGAATGATAATATAAGCTTTTATAGGAGGGGAAGTTTAGCAAATGAGATAATTTAATTTATGATTGAAGACAGTGACACTGAGCCTTGCCAAGTATCCCACCCAGCACTGCTGTAGCGTACCATACATTTTTCCCCCTCTTTTACACGGATTTTGTCAAGCCCGGAGCTGGCTATCTCCGGGGACGGATGGATAAATTGATGGATACGTTCATGAATAACAACATCCGGATGTCATGTAATCGAAGATCTCCTTTAAGTCGGTGTAAATCTATCCACACGCCAATATCACTAATTGACTAACTGACTCGGCCTCAACGGCGGGCTGGCTGGGAAACCAACGACCAGCTAGCGGACTGACCGGGGGAGGGTCCACACATCACCCGCTTCTACTACGTAGTAGCTCGTCAACGAAGAAGAAAACTAACCTAACCTCAAAAGAAATAATAATAATAATAATAATCAAGGTGCTAATCCGAATAACTCCCCTTCCGCAGAAGCGACAGGGGTAAATCCGGACTCAACGGAATGATCTCATGAGATCGCGGTGTACAGAACCACAGATAGTACTTAGTGCCATCTAACGATAGAAACATCGATTGATTAAATTGATCCCGGGCTTAAATTAAAAATTGCCGGTTTGGGAACCGTCCAACGTTCACGATGGGTCGTAGCTTAGGTTAGTCACTTAGTCTAGTGTTTCTCAGCCGGATTTTAGTACGAGATAGCTTAGTTCCGTCTTTTTATTGATTAATTTAATTTAATTTATTTGTTATTTTTATTATTATTATTATTATCTTCCCGAGTCCCTCCTGAGGTCCGAGGACCGTTGGAAATGGGGATATTGGGATCTCCACTGGCCATCTATCTGTCTATCTGGTTAGCTGCCTACCTTAACTGGAGTGGACTCGACTATCACTGTCGGCTGCATACAGGCCGATTCGCTTGAGCTGCTTAAGTCATGGAGGTAATTGTTGATCCACTATCGGTAGGTACCCTTTTCTTCTCAATTTTTGTTGACGAAGCGACGGTGTTGTCCGCTGTGCCGGTTTGGACAGGTCGATGGTAGATTAGATAGAAAGTATGTATCTAGTATTATCTACAGTAGTATCTACGCCTAACCACTGTAGTCTCTATCTACTAAAGTAGGGGGAACCTGTCACCCAAAGTTTATTTGCCTCTACTACTAATATCAAACTTTACTTTCTTGACAGATAGACCACACCACGATCTCATTCTACACTCTACAAAAATTTTCTTTTCAACAATTCTTTAATCCACCCGTCTTTTCGCTTACGCCTAGTTAATATACTAGTAAAGTCCCCGGTGAACCACACAACAGCCTCGGATCCAGGACCGAATGCTCATGCCGTAAGTGGGTACAAACGAAGTGGACTAATTGCCAGCCCGCCACCCCCGATTTGTTTTCTAGAAGGAGCGCGGAATAAATTAACCTGATGTACCATGACTCGTATCGTCCACAAATTATATTGCCTGTTCTCCGGAGTATAGCCAGAACTGCGGTAGGATGTCCAGCCGAGAGCCAAAGAAAAAAAATAAAATAAAAGGCTCCGGAGATGATAACTGGAAGTGTCGTAGTTGTCGGTTGATTTTCATGCGCTCCGTTTTTTGAGCCCCCTCTTCTCGCCTCACCCGTGATTGTCTATTGAATTTTTTAATTACTTTTTATATGTTTTACTCTATTGTTTCTCCTTACGAGATATATCTCGTATATCTCGGTAAATATGGCCTATTTATTGATCAGTCGATATTCAATATACGTAAGTATCAGCTGAGGTTTGTTCATCGTATGTATGTACACGTACATGTACATGTATGTATATACCAGATGAAACCCTTATGTAAATGCATTGGAAATGTATACATACACACAAAAGTACAATTCATATATATATATCCAATCAAATCTTACACTTCTATCGTAGAATCCAATCCCCCGAGTTATCACCGTAAATTGACATTGCATACATACAACCTCCCAGGACTATAGTCCAGCTTCAGTAAAAAATAAAAGCTCATGCAGTGACTACTATGCAGGGGACGAGAGATCAGGTTTCCAGATTCTTGGGTGATTGCTGACAAGATCTCTTGACTTTGACTAGTCGGGTTTTCACCCCTCCCACCACCCGTATTATGGCTTTATCTGTGCCGATTTAGTCTGGATTGCATTCGCCCGGGTGGGAATTCTGCAGCTGCAGCTTGCCCGATGGAGAAGTATTTCGGGTGAGAGTTTGACTTTGTTTAGTTTGGAGGCTGGATTTGGTGTGGTGCAGTGTGTATTTGTATTTTACTTTTTCTTTTTACATGGGTGTGTTGGTTAGGTTGGTCATGTGGATTGTTTGTTGTGCTTGGTTTATATAGAAGAGAGTTCTATATATGTATGCATGTACTTGTTGTACGCGGGGTAAGATATATCGTTGGTTGGACCGTTTGAGGCCTTTGTTGAGATGCAGATGTTTATTTGGAATACAGCTTTATTAGTGTAAAGATTCTAGTCCATTTGGTAGTTGTTGATATAGGTCTTGAATGTATATATATATATATATATATATAAATGGAGTAGTATGTACTTGTAGGGACTTGTTCTGCTGCACTAGATATGCGAATATGCCTCGATCGAGTAGACTGGCTAGGTACATATGCCGCTTCCCTTTTTCTTTTCTTTTCCTTTCTTTTCCTCCTCAACTTATCCATTTATTAATCTATTTTCGTTTTATGCTCAATATCACATTGTTATTATTATTATTATTCTCTCCTCGTTTCCAAGTTCCCTTATGTCCCGAGTTTAAGAGTTACTTTGGTCTGAATCCTAAGGCAATAACAACCAGAAACCTCCAAACACCCCAAGCCAGACATAATGTAAACTGCCCATTCTCAAAACTGCAAAAAGCATCCATACACGTAATAAACGTACTGATAGTCATATAAAAAAGTGTATATTGCAGAAATACCAATACAAGAAACTCAATACTCAGTCCCGTCCCATGGAACCTTCACCTTCTGGAATACGCACGACACGTGTGAACCAAGAACTAGGGAAGGTCCGTATCCAACAATCCTATTGTTGCCGAATCAAGAAACTGGTCTCCAGGTGGGGAAAAGAAAAACAAAAATAAAGAACAAAAGAAATGATTAAAAATAAAAAAAATTAAGAGAAAATGGAAAAAAGAAAGAAGGGGGGAGCTAGAGAGAAAGAGGGAGGAGAATAAAACCAATCGAGGGTCCCAATGGCAGTTATTACCCATTACCCACCCATACCACAATCTGCAATCACTGATCGACAGCATATAATCAAACTAACCATCGATTTGCACCGCCACAACGTAGGAATTGCATCCCGATTTCCTTAAATGTATGGAGTAAACCCTGTCGAAGCGACTAATTTCATTGCCTCAACCAAAAGGATCAAGACATTGGAACTCGCTTGTCATTTCCGAGAAAGGGTTTTGTGACGTTCTAGAAGAGGCGTTATCCGTGGCTCGTACCATGGTTGAAGGGGAATTGTTCCTTGATAATGGGTTCTGTTTTCTGCACGGGAATACCGGGGGTTTGGGTCTGAAGCTACGCGTGGCTAGTTATTGGGTTTACTCTGTATGGAGTATTTATTTTCTTCTGGTTTTTTTTTTTTTTTTTTTTTTTTTTTTTTTTTTTTT